TGATGATGATGATGATGATGATGATGATGATGATGATGATGATGATGATGATGATGATGATGATTTATATACTCTGGGTGGTTTACAACAGATAAATCTATCCAGTGAATGACTCTCAACAGCAGCAGCAACACAAGTCCTCCCCAGATGTTGCTGGGTTGCATTTTCCAGCATCTGCAGCCAACATGACCAGAGGTCAGGATGATGGGAGCTGTATTACTACACAGCCAGGGTATCTCAGATTGGGAGCCATTGCCTGGGCCCTCTTCACATTCAGTCAGCAATCACTTTACAGAAGGAGTGTGTGTGAACAATGCAACCACACTGAGAGACACACTGCTGGTCTAACTCATGCAACTTAACACAATAGTTCAACTTGTCTCCAAGTTGAAACCACACCAGATGATTCTGCTCCTATGCTGCTAGCTGCATACATGAAGGGATCACGTGGTGGTCTGGGACCCTTAGTGCTCCTTCATGAACTTTCAGGTATTCCTCACCCAAGGGATGGCAGCATTCTTTGAAGAAAGACAGCATATTTTTTTTGACATTTCCGCCACATGAGGAAGAGACATTTTTACTCTTGATTTTAAAATGTAAATTGACAAATAACTCGCCTTTCCAGCAACAAAGCCAATTGCACTGGAATCTATCCCTGGCCATGTTTAAAGTTTTCCTCGTCATCTGCAAACACTTTTGCTGAACTGCAGCCGCCAAAGTCAGTTGCAGTAACTTTTGAGTTTAATCTAGGAAGCCTTTTGAGCACCCTTCCAACTACAGCCATAGTGACAGTGGGGCAGGTCATGAGCAGCAAACAGACTCCAGAAATGGTCTGTAACATAATAATGTTTAGCAAGGAGGAGAAAGGCAGAGATGTCTGTAGAAAAATGTAGGGAAAGAATACACAGATACATTCCAGTAGCTTGGATGCAAGGTAACATGTTAAAATTAAAGATTGGCTTCATAATTTTGTTCCAGTTGTTTTGGGGGAAATACAGATTTCTCCTCCCACAGTTCTCTAAGATGTTTTGTTTTTCTTTGAAGGCTATTGCACTTCTACTAGAAACTCTCCATTCATAGTCAGTGAGCAGTTTATAAGCAAGAGGAAAGCTTAAATCTATCGACTGTATTTGTTTCTTCAGTTTTCCCAGCTGTGATAATTATGTCTGAGGATGATGGAAATCATAGTCAATTGAATTTTGAGGATATTACATTGGGAGATGCTGGTGTATACACTTCTCCCATTATGGTATTAACTAGAAGGGTGTGATAAGGATGGGAAATAGATCACATTTTTGGACCACTTGTGGAGCAGTCTGGTATGATCTATTTCCCAGTGATCACACATCATGTGGAAAATGCACTCCAACCCAACCCTGATCTGTGCCCAAGTTGGACCATTTTGGTCCAGCTGTAAGGCTACTACATTTAGGGGCTGAGCTAGAGCAATTTCTCAACAAATAGAAAGGTCACTTTAAGGGAAATCACTCTCTGCCAAGTAATTCTTACCAGTGCAATTGGACGTGCACCTTTCTAAGCATCTGATTGCACCCAAAGTCTTCTTGAGCTAATCAAATCTAGGCTTTTCCTCCCACCTCTGCTGATGAGAGGAAAGTTTCTCTGCCACTACCATCTTCCTTTTCATAACTCTACTCTCACATTGTTGAAGACAGGTAAGGAAATTATGAGCCAGCCTTTTGCAAAATACAATATATTGCTCTTTTCTCCCAGCCTCTCCTGGAATGCAACACCTCAGAACACCCTGGACCTGATACTAGAAACTACAGAGTTAACGATCCAGAGAGACTCCTCCAGTGGGAAATGGCTACCTTTAGCAGTTCTTTTTAGAGTGTGCAGCCTCTCCCTTCCCCCCAACACAACCTCAGGCCCATGTCATTCCCAGAAGAAGAAACTTACCCAAGACAAGTTTGCCTGGAGGTTCTTTGATGGCCAGGAGCAACCCCGGCTCTCCTGTCCTCCTGACCAGGGAGTTCTTCATAACTTCCCAGCAAGGGCCAGTGGCCACTGGAGATCCACTCCCCTTGCCTGTTGGTATAATTCTAGGCAGCCTGACCAAGCCTCTATGGTCCTCCGTGCCCCCCTTTTTTTCCCTTGACAGACAGCTGGAGATGCTCTCCTGGTTTGTACCAGCTCCACTGATAGGGAGTCAAGGGCTATTGTCCTAGTTACAATGGCCTGCTTTGTTTGTGAAATCAAAGTCCTTTCCTGCTGCAGGGGGAAAAATGAGAGCCCGGGAAGGGCAGCTCTTGCATCCTGAAGGTACCTTGGCAGGCTGGGGGAAGAGGCTGGGAGGCAGCCCTCACTCCTGCCCAGTCATTGCCCCCTGCTCTGTAGGTTACCAAGAGATTCTCCACACCTGGGATGGAGCTGGGAGGCAGCTGCTGCTGCGGTGGTGGCTGCTGCTATATCGCTGTGGTGGATGGCGCCGGCTGTCACATCTGGGCTCTGCTTGGCCTTTTAAAGCACTGTCTGTCATTCACAGGGAGAATTCTGCTGGGTCCTAAGCACCTCCTACAGCGATGCCCAGGCAGCCTAGGCTTCGGCTGAGCCTGGGTATCACAGAATCAGCTAACAGGCAAGGGGGTCCAAGGAGGCAGGGGGTCAGGGAGATCACAGGGCCTGGTTTTCCCATTTGAATGGAAACAGGCATTACCAGGAGCGTGGCAAGAGGAGCAGGGTGGCCTCTAGGTCTCTTCTGTGTGGCAAAAGCTGAGCAGAGGCAGTTCTTGGTTAGCGGCTTGCCTTCTAAAGTCTGTGTTACTAAGGGTGGGTTCTTTTTCCAGCCAGTTCTAAGAGAAACTGGCCAGCTTTTCTCGGGAGTATTGCTTATCCCACGTGTGCATGTGTGCTTTGGCTCAGTCTTGCAGCTGTGCGATGAGCAACTCCAAAAGTCTGCAGACTGTGGTGAATTAACACAGCAGGTGAGCAATTTGTTGTTGCTGTTACTTTTAATTGCGGTGGCAACCAAACTGCTGGATAGCTCAGTGTTTTAGGTACCTGGCTGTGGAGCCAGAGGTTGGAAGTTCAATTCACCACTGTGCCTCCTTGACAGGGGATGCGATGATCCATAGGGTCCTTTTCAAATCTTCAGTCCAAAGATGATGATGATAATGATGATTTATTGTTGTCACGACTGGTTTCTGCTGGGGTGTGGGTGGTCAAAGTGTTGCCTCCTAGAAGCCACTGGACGGCTACTTGCAGCATTCCTCACCATGGTGGCAAATTAGGTGAGCTCTCTCTGGGACAGGTCTGATGGGAGCTGTAGTCCAGCAACACCTGGAGGGATGTACTTTGCCCTAATTGGGTGGCGCTGTGGGCTAAACCACAGAAGCCTGTGTGCTGCAGGGTTAGAAGACCAGCAGTCATAAGATCGAATCCACGCGACGGAGTGAGCTCCCATCGCTTTGTCCCACCTCCTCGCCAACCTAGCATTTCGAAAGCATGCAAATGTGAGTAGATAAATAGGGACCACCTCATTGGGAAGATAAAATGGTGTTCCCTAATCACGCTGGCCACGTGACAACAGAAACTGTCTTTGGACAAGCGCTGGCTCTACGGCTTGAAAACGGGATGAGCACCGCCCCCTAGAGTCAGACACGACTGCACTGAAAGTGTCAAGGGGAACCTTTATCTTTACATATCACCACCAGGGCTGTCATGAGTGAATGATTAAGAAAACAGAGGACAAGCCTATTGCACATTTTCCTTGGTGGTGAAGTGTGGGATTTTGTTTCGAAGAGTAGCCAGTTGCGGATGCTTTACTGAGAACCCTCTAGCTGAGTCGTAGGCTCCCAGCCACGAGACCCCTGGGAGGTCTCGTGTCTGCGCCCGTTCTCTGCGTGCTTCATTGTAGAGCTGGTGGGTGGACTAGAAGAGGCATCTTGCTGGAAAGGATCCAGTCCAGCCTCTCACTTCACAGAGTTTCCAACTGAATGCTTCCAGGAAACTGAACAGCCAGGTCATGACAGCTATGGCCCTCTCTGAGCTATTGTTTCCCCTAAAACCGATGCTCCATGGCACATGGCCTCGGACTCTATATACTCCATATAGCCACACTATGGCTAATTGCTATCAGGGCCAGTCCGAGACATTTTTTGCACCTGAGAAGGAGCAGATAATGCTGCCACTTCTTTTCTTCTGATGCCCTTGTCTGCAAGCTCCTTGGGGCCATTTGCTTAGCTGCAATAACTCCTGTCATGACACTCAGGGTTTTTCCTTCAGTTTAATGTACTGGAAAAACAGGGCAAGGCAGTCCTAGAGAGCAGGAGGAGCGCTGTAGTCATAACACGTGACAGCAAGATTATTTTAAATGGTAACGGCTCACTATTACTATTTATACATTACTTGACACCATTGTGATAAAGCTGTGGCAGAATCACAGTACTGGCAGTAAGAGACTATCCTAGGCCTCACTCCATTGTTTTCTGTCCTGGGTGGGACATACATGCCAGAGGGGGCTGCAGGAAGCTCAGAGGCAGATGGTGAGGGACAATCTGTCATTTCAGTTAAGGAGTTCACTTTTCTTTAAGCAAGGTGAACCTGTTTGCCACTGATACATTTGTCCTCCTTAACTAAGAGCAGTGAATGCACTGAAAGTGAGAAGCCTCACTATAAGCTTCCTCAGCAGAACAAATTTCTTGCCAATTTGCTCCTCCTGGATGCCCACTCTTGGCTAGCCCAACTGTCCTCCCAACTGGCTGGTTTGATGGTCTCCTTCTGTGGGAGTTCTCGTGAGTCATGTGAGAATCATGTGAGAGGCAGGCCACTGCTCGTTGGTCATGCCAGAACAGCTGTACTGCCCTGAATAAATTAGGCAAATATGATGATCCCTCCCCTAAACAATTCAGACTTTCCCACTCATGGGAAGGGGGAAGAAGAATTCCTATGGCTCAATGATAACCCATCTATTGGGAATCCTGTTCAGACAGGACTTAATTATCACAACCATCCAAAACATAGAAGGGAAGAGGCTTCAAAGGCCTGGATGTGTCTCATCCAAATAGATTTGTACCCAAACATCTCTAATTTTAAAAAAATAAGGTACCAATCTTATCTGTTTGCTCGTTTACCTGTTTATAACTAAACATATTTGTATCCCTCCTTTCCTCCAATGAGCTCAAGGAAGGTGGATTTCCTTTTTCTGCAAAACGAATCCTGTGATGTAAACTTTAGTGAGTGGCCCAGACCATCTGGTGGGTTTCATGGCTTAGTCTCAACTCCAGCACTCAAGTCCAAAGTTCTATCCTCCCCGCTATCCATGCTGGCTTAAGTTAGTAGACTGGAGGAGAGACCTTATGACCACTGAAGGCAAGAATCCTCCCCAATTTGTACTTCTTCCCCACCTTCTCTAAATAATACAGTTCATCTTCTCCGTACACATTGGAAGACATACCATAATCCTTGATAGAAAGTGACAATGAAGGGTAGAATTTATACACAAGTATATTCATGATAAATTTTGTGGTGTACTGGATGGAGTGTCCGATTGGGATTCAAGTGACTTGGGTTCAGATTGCTGCTCAGCCATGGAAACTCACTAGGGGTCAGTGGAGGTCAATAGTGAACCATGCCTTGAGAACTCTACTTGATTCTTCATGGATGAAATCTTGTGGCCTAAGTTACGCCACGTATGGCTGCTGATGATTGCAGGTGCAGCTGCCTTTTTAAAAATAAAAAGTTTTTTATTCCTGCCTCAAAGGTCCTAATGCTCCCATAGAATCGTTTCCATCATCGAGAAGCCATCAGAGACTGTGGGAGGGGGTAAGGAAGTCTCTACCAAAAATCATTGCTGCTGAAACAACTTTACCATAATTTTCTGAAAAATTGCTGCAGCTGATAACATCGTCAGCCTTAGGTGGCTTAATTTATACAACAAGGCTTCAGCCAAGTCAAAGGTGACTTGAGAGGAAAGAACAACAGAAAAGATACGCTTCTAGATCTCAGCTCAGTGATAGCCTTTGACTCTGATTTTTACAAGCTACAAGGAATCATTTAAATCAAATATGTTTGTAGGAATAGTTCACAACAGTATTTCCCATTTATCAACTGAGTTCTGTTTGTCATTTCTCTAAACCTTCCAGTTAGACGGGGCAGGGGGAAGAGTTGTTCCAGGATCACTGGTGTACACTGGTCTCTGTTTCCTTCTAGTTTTTTTTTATTACCACTTATTTGCATGCAAGAAAGTGTTCCCCCAGACCTTGGTGTTTGTTCAATTAATTAAATGTTTGCAAAGCACTCAGGAAGACTAAAAGAAAAAAGAAAACACAGGTGGCACCCCGGCCATGCTTCCTCCCCAAGAGGACTGATGAGACTGAGTTAAGAAAAAGAAGCCGCCCAGAATGGTAGAATATACCAGATTATTATTATTATATTATTATTTATTTGATTTATACCCCGCCCATCTAGTATATTCTACCACTGTGGGCGGCTAACAGCAACATATAAAATTAAAATAATATAAATCCATTGACATCGTTAATAAAAACATTTCAAAAGATATAATAAATGATAGACGAGAAAAAAGAGTTACATACTGGCAGGAGGGAAGGCCTGAATGTAAAGCCATGTTTTT